GTCATCCAGTCCGAGTCTGAGGCAGGGTCGCTAATACCGCCGGAGCGGACTCGTCCACGACGTCGATTTCTGGTGTGGGAGGTGCTTCTTCGAGCGAAGGCGCAGAATTTGGCAGGGCAGGTGTGAATGGAATATCTTTGTCCGGGGCCGGCAAGCGCTCAAAGGTGAAATCTGCCTCCACTGTGGCGGGCTCGACCTGCATCTTCTCGCCGTCCTCGAGGAGATCGGCCTTTATCTCATCCTCGTCCTCTGGGGGTTCGGGCTCTGCTTCGATCACCTCGATAGTTATCTCGTCAGGGGCCTCATCCATCCGCTCGCTATCATCAAACAACTGCGTGTGAGGCTCGGCGCTCATGGGAGGTTCAGCGTCCTTGTCTTCGACTTCTTCCACTATGGCCGTATCTGGACTTTCGGGAGAGCAGTCCGACTGGGGCTGCGCTGGCGATGTTCGCTCGACCTCCATCGACGTCTCTGCTGAAGTTTGTGGCTGCGCGTCGAGAGCTGTATGTGCTTCGGCCGCTGTGCCGGTTCGATGCGCCGGATCGAGGTCGGCTGGTGACTGAGAGCCAGAAGGCTCAGCGATGGTCTTCGTCTTTTCCACCCACGCCGCCCAAACCGCCCTCACCCTCCTCTCCACACTCTCCGCCTTGCCCTCCACCTCCCTCACAAGGGCCCTCCGCCGGCCCTTGACCTCCGCCACGCCACGGCTCTCCACGGCATCCAGTGCGGTCAGCAGCCGACTGAGCTCCTCGAGATAGGCGTGCAGCGGCGCGTTGCCCGGCGTGTACGCAAGGTCCGGGCGCGTCGGCTCCGCGGCGTCATCTGCGACCGGGCTGGCTTGCGTTGCGCTCGCTAATACCTCCGCGCCCGCGCGGACCGCGATCTGCCCGCCACCGGGCACGACGAAATCAAGCGCGGCGGGGAAGACGAAGTTTGAGCGCAGGCCGGCGAAGCGCGTGCGGAGGCCGGCGATGGTGCGGAGCGCGTTGGCGCGTGCGGCATGCGCGCGGTACGTCTCCTGGATCTTGCGCGCAGCGGCATCCTGCTCCGGCGTGTACTGCTGCACGTGCTGAGGCGCGGGCGAATTGGGCGGGGAATTCGTCCTCTCTTTCGGCGAAGGCGTGCGGATGGCGATGGTGTGCCGCGGGGACGTGCCTGCGTGCGGCGAGACGGGGCTGGGTGGTTGGCGCGGTGGGACAGAAGCCGATCTTGAGCCAGAACCGATGGGGTTCAGATGAGAATGCATGGCGTGCAAGGGTTTGTGTGTCGGCTGTCGCCTATTCGACGGTGCGACGGTCTGTGAACGCAACGGTGTACGCGCAGTGCGAGTGTTCTACGCGTGATATCAGTTTACTTGGCAAACATCCGTGGTCAGAAAACAGTGGCTTACCAAGTCCCCGTCCCCGTCTCCAGACAGCCAGCCGAAGCCGCGCAAGAAAGGATCATATTGGTGGGCCCGCTGACGATACAGCTCTTCTTCGTCTTGCCGTCTCCGCGCGTCGGCTAGGAGCTGCCGCATCCGCTCTTCCTCCATAGCCCGCCTCTCCTGCGCGAGCTTCCTCCGTTCCTCCTCCAGTCTCAAGCGCTCTTGCTCCCTCTCCAGCTGCTCGCGCCTCCTTTGCTGTTCCGCCATGACTCTCCGCTGGCGGGCGGCGGGCGACATACCGTATCCGTGGCTGCCATACGGAGAGGCGCTGTACGCGCCGTCGTAGGAGTCATTGTCCTCGTGAGTGCCGTCGTCGTCGTCAAAGTAGTATGAGTTGTACGGCGTGTAGGCCTGACGTGCCGCGCGCGCACGGGCAGCACGCTCGCGGACCTCTTCTTGTGCGCGGCGGGCGGCGAAGTACTGCTCGCGCGCCGCGCGCTCATCAGCGAGGGCCTGCAGGTAGTCTTGATCGGGTGAGTATACAGGCGCGGCGCGCGAATACGCGTATGGGTTGGAGTAGTCTCCGTACGGGTTATAGCCGAACATGTTGTAGGATGTTATGGGTAGCAGGTCAATAGCGTGCGGTTGTGGATGCGCCTTGTAACTGCGATTATTAATATATGGTAGGGTGGAGATTCGGGGCAATTCGAGGACGAGCCTGGCGGTGGAGACGCTTATATGCATGGGGAAGTACGGGCAACAAACCGCCCACTTATCTCGAGTTTGTAGGCAGATCGCTCCTTACATGAAAGGCTGTGCATCATCGTCTGTACATCTTCTTCACTGGCAGACAACTTGACGAACGAAGGAATGAGGACTTTTTAGCCTGATAGAGAATGGTGCGACACGGGAGACAACCTGCGGCACATCCTTGACATGTATGCTATACAACCCAGTATCAACCAACAGACTTGGACGAGATTGGTCCACCCTGGTGCAGTAAAGGAATTCATTCTACATTACATAATTGTTTACATTCCTAGAAGCAGCATTGCGTCGAGTATGTCGCGGTGGGACACCAGGGTGTCCTTGTGGTACAGGTCCAGGTGGCTGAAGTAGCAAATGACCTGCTCCAACCAGGTTGTGAACCAGCCCTCTCGGCGCCGGGCCACTCAACTGCGGAGAAACATTGCCCCCTAACCTGACCTCGTCGGTCACGTCAAGCAGAGCCATATCATCGATGTAATGCATTTTCAGCCCTACGATATCAATCGCTCGATCAGCGGGTAAAACATAGTCAGAATAAATAAGTACTTCTTACCTTTGATTGTCGTCGATAACTTGTCAAAGGGGGGGATGGTCACAAGTTGAATCATTGTCAGGAATGCGATAACGGCCATGACATTGTCTTTGCGGTGGTCAGAATACTGGTGGTGTACAAAGCCATTGGCTCGCAACCATTTGAGTAGTTCGCAGTAGGTCTTTGCTGTGAATCATTGTCATCGAATGAACAAGGATGGTGGGCTGATGTGCACGGAGAAATAGCACATACAGCGGTGCGACTGCCATCCAGAAGGAATAGGATCCTCCGAGGGACGTGTGTAAACATCATATGAGATACCCCAAGTGCCCGTCGGCTGTACCATAAGCCTGGGCAACTGGGCGAAAAGCCATTGCTGGTTGATATACGCCATACTAACTTTATGAAAGGGATAAGACTGGAGGAGGTAGTGCGAGATACACTGACGTGTCGCACTTTTGCCCGTCACATTGTAACGCATTAGACGGTGTCACAATGCTCCAATCTACAGGTGCATCCGGAGACTCAGTGAGTGCTGGAGACATTTGAAGCCCAAGTCATTCAATATTTGTCCTAACTATTAGCCGATATAACGAGATCTTCGGCCTACTCATGATGAAGTCAAGTATCGTATCCGCAGTGTACATGGTAGCATCTCATGCCAGAGCCACCATTAAGTCAATAGACACTTGCCTCCTTGGCCTGCGCACATCATTGCGAAAACTGTAGTCAGCTTGCATCAGCACAAGTCTTAAGACCTCACGCGTGTATGCGACCTTCAGTCACTCATTTTTCAGGCTTGACGTACTGCTCAGCCCCGCCATACGCATGGTCTTCGCAATTGACAGAGCGTATGACAATGATATCTGCTGCGTTGCTGATCATTACGCCGAGATTGCTGCTTATGGGTGAGTCGACCTTGACCTTTGATCATACTAGTCTGTGTACTACATTGCCACATCATCCGGGGTGCACATCGCTTCAGCTGATCTCAGAGCGTTCAGCACATCGTGCTATTTTGATGATGAAGACCGATATGCAGTGTTATATCCGACAGGCTCTTACAGACCTCGACGGGGTTATGCTCACGATGACGATGTACTAGGATAGACAGCAATACCCGCTCAAAGTAAATTAATGGCGTGAAGGTGTGTACACACCGGCACCGTCCCAACTATGCTCGGACCATTGATCGACTTTAGCGACTATGCAGTTGCAAATCTCGGTCGCGTACATGAGGTACTATATATGTTAAGTCAGTCGGGCGGTCCTTCCTAAGTTCCTGTCGCGGCGTCGCGGCGGCGAACGCTGGAACGTTCTAGCACATGCCCTATTAGCGACTGGGCTAGCGGCGCATGATGGGCGGGGGACGTTGTCTCGACATCGCGCGCTCCATATATGGGCGCT